GGAAGACCCTGAGACACTGTCGCAGGTTTCTGACTCCCCCGGGCCTGTGTCCGTGTCCCCTGAGCCAGGGTATGCTGGGGGGCTCTGGTCGTCCACGGGTAAGGGGCAGCCCTGGCCCACGGAAGCCAGGTACCCGGGGCCTAAGGCACTCAAGCCGCCACTCACAGCCTCGTCATAGGACGGGAGCATGACGGGCACGCCGTCCACCACCACGAAGTCAGGGTCGCTGCTGGAACTCCTGGGAGGGCCCCTGTGCAAAAGGAAGCAGTGCCAACATGTCAGAGCACCCCGACACCCTGGGAGTGAGGCCACCAGTGCTCCCACTGTAGCTGGGGTCCTCGGGGCCCACGATAGGCAGCAGAACCTGGTGTGAATGATGGTACTGAAGAACCAGCCTCCTTCCCACACCTCCCTTGGCAGTGGTGCCAACCACCAGGGCCAAAGCTCTGAGACGGAAGGGAGCCTTCTTCTCTCAGATCCTCCTCAGTTCTTTCCTGTTGCCTCTGGGCTTTACCATCTCCCCCTTCTTTGATCTCTAGGCTTGTCCATACAGCATAACCTGGGGGGCAGGTGCTCCATTTCGACAGAGACTCCCAACATGCCTCTGCCATGTCCTACCAACAGCCATGGAAAGCAGAATAGCACTGTTAAAATACCGCGACTGCAGATGCTCAGCCCCACAGGGTATTGCCAGCCCCTGTCCTTGTGATGCTCCTTATTTGTTTTCTGCTCCAGTACAAAGATCACTGATTTGCAGTCAAGATAGAAAAACAGCACCAGGGGGATAAGAAAGAAAAGGCACGTCACCTCTCAACCACATTCAAGTTGCACGGTGTGTCACCTCCCGATCCCCCAGTCCTTTCACCCAAGCAGGCTCGTGCCACCTGAGGTCCTGAGAGGCCGCCGCTGCCCCCGAGGCTGGGCCCTCCACAGGTGCACTTGCAGTCCCTGGCCCAGCCCCTCCGCATCCCATCTCCCTGCACACCCAGGGCTGTCAGCTTGCAGCGCGGCGGGGTGGCACCACTGCCCGAGCTCACTCTGACCGCCTCGCTGCTCCTGCCTTAGATGGGACCTGGAGTGGCTCATGAGTAGCGAAGGTAACTGGTGTCTTTTCCTTGTTGGGAACTTGTGCCAAGCAATGACACCAGCAGGTGAAATACCAGGAAGAGAAGATAACTGGGTTGGCGGGGCAGACCCTGGTCCGAGGGAAGGAAACGTCTGGACGTGCCATCGCAGGTGGAAGAGGAGCTTCCGCTATGCCTTTCACTGACACTGGAGGGACAGTCTCAAGTTCCCGACTGTGTGAGAATCCTGCGAAGGCTTACAGATTATGGCAGCAGGCTCCTGTTTCATAGTCTTCAAGGTTAGCCAGCGAGGGCAAGAGGCTGCCCAGGCCCACACTCTCTGGAAGAGGTGGGAGGGCAGGACGCTCTCAGACCAGACTGTTGTCCCTCTGCAGTAGCCACTGGCCAGTGCATCCCCAACGGAATTAGGCCCCTGTCTCTCTGGCTTCTCGGCTGTCTCATGCCAGCTCCTTCTCACCTAGGACTTCCTACCTCGTCATCCTTCATCTCCAAATTGTGGAAGCCAGGGTCGGCAAATGTCTCTCCTCTATTTCTCACCGTAAGAGTCCATCCTAGTCACCCTAAGAGTCCATCCTAGTCACCCTAAGAGTCCACCCTAAGAGTCACAGTTCCCATGGTCTGGCAGCTCCCTGCCACTATGTCCCAACCATGCCACTTGGCTCTCACATGCCAGCCATCAGACATCTCTGCACTGTTCACTCTGCAGGATCCAGATGAGAAGATTCAGTTTTGGCCTGCCCTTGAGACTCTTACCATCTACCTGGAGAGATGAGACCAACCTTCCCAAAACAACAAGAGAAAAATACCAGGGGTTTTCAAAAGGTTCATGGAAAACGTGTATTATGAAAGGACTATGTATGGATTTAAATATTTTTGCAACAAAATCAACTTGTATTTTAATTCCACTTTTCCCACAAACTTTCTGAAGTCCCCTCATATAAGAGGGCAAGACTTAAGGGCTAAAGAGTATCAAGTTAAAGTGCTGAGAACACTTTAAAAAAATCTTGGGCAGCCTGTAGCCTGGTAATTAAGGGAACTGGACCTCACGGGGCTGCTCATGGTTCAAATCCTGGCCCCGGTGGCTTGAAAAACATGCCAGGTACATGTGTGTGGCCCATATCCGAAAAGGATGGAGAAATGGAGGAGAAGGGATTGCAGCAAGACTGTGCTCACCAGGTTCAAATCCTGGCCCTGGTGGCTTGAAAAACATGCCAGGTACATGTGTGTGGCCCATATCCGAAAAGGATGGAGAAATGGAGGAGAAGGGATTGCAGCAAGACTGTGCTCACCAGGGTGTGCTTTCTCCCTCTTCTTCTTCTCTCTCTCTGGCAAATGCTCTGGCAATTAAAATAATTTTTAAAACATCTTAATATTTAGTCGATACCCTGGAATCTTTTCTTCCAGGCCTATGTCGAAAAATAGCTCTGTGGGCCATTTTAAAGTACTCGAATGTACTATAAATCACAACCATGTAATTTAGCTTTCTCTTTGTAATCCTTGGGCCTTTCTTAGATACTGTAATTGCTCAATGATAGAACACAGTACCTTGATTAATAAATAATAGTGTTGCAGACTGAGAGAGTGGATGGCAGGCT